TCAGGGAACTACAGAAGTTAACTGACATTAATAAAGTCTGAAAACACAGAGTTACATTCCACGTAGTTACCAAGAGTCACTTCATTAGCATCATTACCTTGCGCAGAATTCTTCTCTATTAGTGTGGCATGGATACGATCAATCTTGTCAATGAAATAATCAGCGAAAGAATTAGCTAGTGCATCGCTACAAGATGATGGATACCGTGCAGTTGATTGCTTTTGTAGTAGTTTTGATACTGTATTAAACAAAACCCGTTGATCACTTGAGTTTTCAGTAATGATGGTAGTGTAGTAAGAGGATTTCAACGACTTGATCAAATTATTCACAACGCAGCACTGACGATTATATTCTTGTCGATCAGCCTGCAGCCTGGTTCTTCGCCATTTTCTTTCAAGGCGTCGTCGCTTACGCTTCTCTACAGATACCTCATTAGTGTACCACGGAGCAGCAGGCCTAATAGTAACAACTCGGCGCTTGACAGGAGCATGCTTGTCCATTATTGATCTTAATAAGGTGTCATACTGTTGAACTAGATGATCGAGATCGCTGGATGGGTCGATGACGAGAGGGCAGTCAGCAACATCACTAAGAAACGACTCCATGTCAAGAGACCGAAGCTTCCGATAGAAGATAACTTCCTTCCTAAACTGGGGCTTTCTTATGGAGACATCACACATTACCGCCAAATGATCAGAGATGTTAGGATCATAGACTTTGATATTATTGAGCATGTTATCATCAGACTTATTTATAAGTAAGTCAAGAGTATGGCCATTGCGATGAGTCCCAGCACAGACACGTTGTTTAAGGTCAAAAGATTCCAAGATGTCAGTAAAACGTTTGGCATTTACATCATCTTGACAATCCATATGAAAGTTAAAGTCACCAGTAATTAGGACTCGATCAGAAGACTCCACAATTACAGATTCAAGTAGATGTGAGAATTCCTCAAAAAATCGATTGAAAGAGGAATTATCAGGTGGACGATAGATGACTAAGATCCTGACACTATATAGGCTCCGAAGACGAACATCCATGATTTCAAATGTATCATAATCAACTGTTAATGAAGTGTTGATGTTCAGCACATCCTTAAATAAGATACCGACACCGCCTCCTCTTCCTTGTTTCCTGGGAACATGTAGGAATCTATAACCTGTTGGACACAGTGTTCCAATCTCAACATCATCCATATTGTGTGGTCTCAGCCAGGTCTCAGTCAAAGCTAGTATATCTACATCAAAATCCACCACAAAATCTTTAACCTCCATTGTCTTATTACGCACGGAGCGTGTGTTCAGTAGAGAAAATTTTAAGCAATGCGATAAACCATTTTCACTGTATGGAACTTTCTAGGGATACCGAAGGGAAGTTCCTTTTTATTTTCATTCACAGGATTTTGCCTTAATTGAGATTAATTTCACAAACTTAGTTTTAGGTGAACGATCAACTTCCCGTGAAAAACATTAACTTTGATCGTAATAATAGGATTTAATCATTTAATGATACTTTACGCTAGGTTAGTCGTATCTCACAAGTTGTACCAAAACAAAAAGTCAAAACTGGAAAACCGATTTGTTTTACGCTGTATGGAAAACTTTGTATACTCTACGTGAATTGTCGATACATTATCTTTGAAGTAATTTTAGAGCTGAGCGTGCTATACATTTATCATGTAGGTGAAGTATAGTGGAACAAAGTCGTACAACAAAACGTTCAAAGATAATGGGAAGAGTTTAGAAAGAATAAATACAACATCGCAGACGGTTAAAGAGTTGATTCCAGGCACCACGTACAAATTTGAAGTTTCTGGCTCCTCTGTCTGTGGGGTAAGCGGATCCAGAAGGGTAACAGTGACAACAGAGGTGAAAGGTGAGTTTGTAACCATATAAGGGCTGACCAATCATCATAAGAGATAATCTCAAAAGATTAGAAAAGTTTCTTTATTTTATTTTACTAATCGAAGGAAAATTGTACTCTTTTAATTTTATTCCATACCAATGGTATCCCTAATATGAAGACTATTAGAAATCGATCAGACAGATTATTGCAAATATTGATTTATAAGATCTCTTTTCATCGTCAACTGTAAGTGTTTATTTATTGTCACGTATTTCCAGTTCCTTTTTTTTCAATTTTGCTTGATACCTGTGGTAATAACTTCGTATTGGTGAAGTTGTTTGGTTCCAACTGTCGAAAGCAATTTATTATAATTAATACTGGCGGTTTACATTTAAAGTGGCCATTGTTTTTCGGAAGAGAGTTCTTTAAACAATACAGCCATCAATGGTTGGATAATAACTGCCATCCAGTTACATGTTCATCGATATTCCAAAAAAAAGTATTAATTTGCGACCATCACTTGGTAATGTCACAAAATTCTGTCACACCTGAGCGAATTATTAATATGTAACTATCATTTTGATCGAGTTACCTCTTGAAGAGATAAGTCTTATTAAATCGCTTGATTGGATTCTGCGTAGTTTCTTGAATCACCTCCTGAACCTGTAATCATACAGCCGTACTATCTCGTTCTATAAGAACCATGTTCTGAGCAAAAGTGTGTCGTGACACAAAGCATCTTTTTTCTCACCAGCTCCGGAAGCCCCATTTCCTCATAATGTGAGCAATGTTGAGGTTTCGAAGACATCTGCTGATATTTATCTGTGGCCAGTTGAACAAAAATATGGTCCAATAAGGTAATTATAAAGGAGAAAGAGACTTGCTAAGCAACGAAAGGTTGAGTAGGTCTTTCCTTAAGATAAGGCAAGATTGCTAACCACTACTCGAGAAATGAGGTCACGCTCATTGCACGAAGGCAGGCTACGCGCGTGCGGCGGAAATCAAACTAAAAGGCCTCAAAATGAATCGTTAGGGAAAAAATAATCCTCATAGCAAAATAACTTCCTATTGCAATTGCTAACGGGTGAGAATTTCAAGGCAGTGCATATCAAATTATCCAAGAAATGATGATCTTAATCGTTCTCGTAGATAGGCGGATGGTATAACCAAGACCACTAACCATACAGAAGTCTCTCGTTGTGATAGATTAAATTTTATTTTGATGTTCCTCTCGGAAACAACTTTTCCTAAACCCTTTTTTACCGCTAGTCAGGTTGTGATAAGTTATTTAAAGCGGGATAGACTTCAGTAGGAGGTCTTAAGTCCTTCGTGTACACATAAGGGCCGTATAAATTACCTTTTTGATCAGTGATTCATGAGTCAGGGAAATTGTTTTTAACCTTTCAGTGCTTATCAGATTATTGTTTTGAAAGTTGTAAATGGTGTTGAAGAGCTTCCAGACAGTTATGATTCACAACTGAAAGCTGCCAGTGATGCAAGGAAGGACGACGTGAACTTTTACATTGCTGCTGAGATAAAGAATGTCCAAGTGCACGTAAAACCTTGGAAATTTACCGTTGGCAATGGTAAAAAAACTGAAAACTATGTGAATGAAAAACTTGAAAAAGGAGAGAAATACACTGTGTACGAGAGGGCTCTAACTGATACCACAAAGGTTATGTAAATCCATTATTTTCAAACTGGAGTTTTTTCATATTTTACAACCAGAATAATCTTTCCTTTTGAAAAATGAACCAGCTATTTTTGAAATGGTTTGACCATAAAGGGAGCCTACCTCCAAACCTTATAGAGTACTAACGTCCCTCCATTGCTAGTACAACTGGCCTAGTGCTCGACAAGCCTCGGAAATTTACCTTTGGCGATGGTGAAATAACTCAACTTTGTAAACGACGAAATTGATAGAGGAGAAAGCTACATTGCGTAGGAGAGCGCTCTAACTAAAATTGAGAATGCGCAAAGAACTGTATGTAAACCAATCATTTAAAAAGATTTTCTTCATTTTTACCTGGAGAATTTTTTTCTTCTCGATAAACTATTTAGCCGCACTCTTGAATGGTTTCACTCCGGAGGAAGCCTATCCTAGACCTAATACAGCACTGACGTCCCTCTGCTACTTGTGCAACTGGGTTTACTGTTTTTTTAAGTCAATTTTAAGAGCAGTTTGCTAAACATAAATTTTGTCTGTGTTTCAGTGAAGATGGTTTGCACTACAGCGTATGAGTAAACACATATACCAGGAGAACGCCTAATCTAAGCGCATAGTGACGTTTCAGTTGTTTTCTACTTGCTTCATTCCCCTCATAGAATTTAAAGCGCGAGCATTTTTTTAAAGTGAGTTTTGTTTTTTTGCATATTTTACAGGTAGTCTTAAAAGGAGAAGTAAGCAGAGTTGCCAAAATTGTCATCACCTCGATAAATGCTGGTTTGTCTAAATTGTAATTAACTCATGATAGTTATATTTTTGACTACAGTTGCGATACAAAGGAACAGGAAGCAAATTAATTTAAGGGGCTTTTCAGGAACAGTTCCTTGTATGCAAGAGTGTTGGCTCTGAGAGGCTTATATTTAGCCTAGTATTAATTGCAACTTACCTGGAGATCCACTTTGTAAAGATATTTCCTGCAAGCAATTCTTCGTTGTCAATATTCAAAGCCTGGTTTCTACCTTTGCTCAATCCAAAACAACAATTTCGAGGTTACCCCAGAATTTGTCTCACTCGGCCTCGTACCCAGCGAAATTTGGTGACGGTAATGAGCTGCCTCGCACATTGGAGCTTACAGAAAGATTTCAATAACACAGTGGCGTTGTTTTACGGGGCATCTCTCTCATCTTGGTCAAGCAAATTTGGAGTTTCGGCTTGTCACTTTTTTTCTAAGAATCGCCAATCTAGTAGCTCTTAGTGCTGAGCTTTATTGAGCTACGTCACGATGTTTTGATTTTTTGTCCTTTTTTTGCTGTAAAACTATCGTGAATGCGAAGGTCACTATTAAGTTGATGATTTCCGGAGTAGAAAAACACCGCAAAGGTAAGAATGAGCCTAAAAGGAACAAGGATGTTTAATAATAGGGAAGATTGCAAATGAAGTTATAAATTGATGGCTGAATGCACTTTCCTCAACCTAGCTGCTTCAAGATTTCCCAGTAGCAGGAATCAGTGGTACATTTGGTAGTACAAGTCAACATCTCAAGCTGCAACCATTTTGATTGCCATGGCGACTAAGTTCTCGGCGAAAATCGACAATTGCGCTACCTGTTTTCGGCTGTCAAATAGCAAGCTGTTCTGTTTTAATTTTTTTAAACAAAATTTAATGACCCAAATAAGAAGGTAGATAAAGACTTCCATTAATTATTGGGTTAGTTCTCCATAGTTGCCGATCATGCAAGTGTATTATTGTCTAGAGAAGTCACGGGAACCTTCAAAGACGATGGTAGGCCACTGTCGACTAAATTAATTTTTCTGACGAGTATTTTCTTATTTTTGGTTGCCGAATTTCTACTCTGAAACAACCTTGAGCTTGGAGCATTGCTAGTAGTAATTCCAGAAGAGCATAATTGTTAAATGCTGTTTACATTTCTCTTATGTAGGGGGTGGGAAAAAGGAAAAGTCCAGTGGTTCTCCAGCTGCAGCTGTTGCTGTACCTGTAGTCCTGTTGCTACTTCTTATACCAGGAGTTGTTGTTGCGGTGTTCTTATACCGGAGGTTTGTTTTATTTTAATACTAAATACTAATGACTGAACGAAGAAAAAAAAAGTAGAGCAACCGAAAATTAGACATTCTGTCCTTTTATCAGGAGAAGGCAATCAAGGTCAAAAAGTGCCAGTGAAAGGCGGTCTGTTCAACTTGATGACCTGAAAAGCGGTTCTCAAGACCTTACCTCAAGTACATCAAATCTGGTCTATCAAAATATAGGAGACATTCGTCGGACAATTAAAGGTAATTTTTTCTTGGATAAAGGTATACCTGAAAGTTTCCTATTGGAAGGTCAATGGAAAATCCTCACGGTTGAAGTCATAGCGTTCGTACAATTGAAACGTTAATTTATGTTTAAAAGGATTGTTGGGATGCCTTGCTATATTTCACTTAGACTTTGTCTAACATATTTATTCTTCGGGTAGCAAAGTTATATCTTACTTTAAATTCAAAGACTTGGATCAGCATCATTTCAACGAGGAAAGTGGCAAAAACTTTGAAAAAATATTACAGTAAATGGTTTGTACCCAGGCGTGCACACTCCGATAGCTGGATCGTTCCTTAAGTGTTATATAAGGTTGTGGAAAGCGATCTTGTTGAATGAAGCGAATGAAAGTTAGAGCGTATCTGTTATCTAGGTGAATTGATAACACGGTCGAGTGTCCATTGAGAAGATGGAAGGAATTATAGACTTCATTATTTGCAATTTCTCTACCATACAGGTGCTGAACAACAGCCTGTTAGTGAAGAGAAAGAAGCCATTTACAGTGAGGCTGACGATGGAAAACCCAAACCAATTCCTGTGGCTGAATTTGTAAACTACTTCAAGCATAAATCAAAAAATGGTGCCATTGTGTTGCGCGAGGAATTTAAGGCAAGATTTCTACATTTTATCTATTATAGTTTTCCACTCTTTCCTTTTCTTTCTTGTTATTGTATGACACTGCAGTAATGAATATTTCTCGAATTGTCTGGCGTTTTTTATTTTCTATTTTATGACTCAGTACATTATGTATGACCATTTTTGGGAAAAAAGAACTAATAGTTTTTGTGGATGTCTTTGCAAGGGTCGCAAAACATGATCACATCGAATCGTTTTTGATAAAAGCGCATGTATTGCAACTTAGTTTATAACTTTCCAGTATTTGCCAGGAGGGATGCAGTTCTCCTGGGAGATTGGTAAGAGTAACAGAGGCAAGAACCGTTATGGAAACATTGTTTCATGTGAGTACATTTCATTAACTTTGTAAGTGTATTTATCCAACGGTAAAGATGTAAAACTTAGGAATTTAGATAACGTGAAGTCAGCTTCTAATGCATAGACCGTAACTGGCGCTGCTCCTTTCAGTCGTCCTTCAAGGCAAGTAAGTCACTTTTGTCGTAATAATATCAAATTCCATCTTTGATAAATGGCAGAACTGTACTGAACAATGACTTCAAAGTTGATAATTTTCGTAGTGTGGGCTTAGATCTAGAGGGATTGTTAGGTTTTAATCAGAATTTTCATGACAACATACACTGTACGTGCAGAGCGCAATAATTCTCAAGATTTTTTCTGCATTTCACACCATAAAAAAAAAAAAAAACCGTGGAGAACTTTGGTAGTGACTAAATGACCGACTGTGTTTGTTAACAGATGATCATTCTCGCGTATTATTGGAGGAAATAGAGGGTGATACAAACTCCAGCTACATCAATGCAAGCTACATTCCGGTCAGTAACAAAAATTGCATGAGACGACGTGGACACAACGACACAATACGACATAACACGACAAGACAAGACAAAACATTAGAAGGAAGTCGACATTACTTGTTTGATATAATGGATAGATGAATAGATAAACAATTAACCCTATCCCGGCAGCCCCTGTAATCAAACAGATAGACAAAAAAATTCTTTTACCGTTTGGGCATCTTCCAAGATCTAGCTTGGATTTTTTTGTCTCTTCGTTGTCCTTTTTTTGGAGGTTGATTTTTATCCGTTATTGTTTGTCGTCAAGCGCTAACTTTTATTTCAGAGTCGCCCATCATTTTTTTAAAAAAATTCTTAGCTTGCAAAAAAAGACTGAAAAAGATATTTAAATAGCTTGACATCTATATTTTAGTTGCTTATCATGAATTTTTGTTAACTTTTTCATATATCTCTCTTCAGACGTACGATGAGGTCTCCATGACCTATATTGCAACACAAGGTAAGAATCACTTGGGGTGTCTCATGGAAAGACTGTTAATTGTCACACTCTAACACCTGTCATTGCTTACCAGCTCCAGTGAAATCTGATGCAACAAAGAGTTGGAGAACAAGCAAATGTCTCACATGATAATTTGGATCAATTTCACCGGGGTCTTTGTCAGTATATTTAACCATTTATCCTCTACAAATACGACACCCCTGGAAATAACAAAAGCGTCCTTAATTAAGGTCCCATCGTTAAACGTAATATAGTGTAAGTGCAAAGCTTATACAAAAGTCCCACTCAGCTCATGTAGACGATGATTTTTGCACTTTTATGGGGCGATCATTATCTCTTGTCATTACAGGGATCCATCACTTTATTGGGGGTTTTACTGTGGCCTTTTTTCAGCATTTTGCGTTGTTTCAGTGTTCGTCTTTTACATTTCGGGGAAAATACTCATGGAAAAGCAGCAATAAATGATTAATGTTTTCAAGAAAGTACCTACACTCCTAAGCAAATGACTTGTCCTATTCTTTTGTAGATAAGTGCTAAATAGCCCCTGAGAAATTGACTTATCTTTCATCTCTCTTTTACAATTCTCTTACTGCTTTGTCAATGTCTGTTAGGTCCAACATCTTCAACTATCGCCGATTTCTGGCGAATGGTGTGGCAGGAAAACATTTCCACCGTTGTGATGCTTACAAACCTGGTTGAGCTGGGAAAGGTAGGCCTCGAGAAACTTTCAGTTTTATGTCGATTGTAAACCAGGGTTTCATTGGTTTTGCAGTTCCTTTGCTTTGTGGGTGGTCTGTAAAACTCGCACCATAACCACAGCCGGCGGGCCCAAAACTAAATCACGAGCTACGAAGCCACTTGCGTAACATGCTGTACGACAAAGTTATTGGTCGCTACATATGATATCACATCTACTTTTTTTATCTTATCTGTAGGGCAAATGTGATCAGTATTGGCCAGATGATACTTTCAGATTTGGTGCCATCACCGTTACCCTGCACAAGACTGAAACCTTTGCCGATTACGTCATCAGGTCACTAATCGTGACAAAGGTGGGTTGTCTTAGCATAGACACACTTAGTTTCATTTCCATCACATGGGTTTGGTCATTTTAAAAACAGTAATAATAGTAATAATACCTTTATTTAGACACGATAATGTTTAGAGCTGAACAGCTTGTGGGGTCGTGTGTAAATCTAAATAAACTCTAAATTAAATAAATTCAAATGATGATGGTTTTTGAGGAGAGGGGAAAACCGGAGTACCCGGAGAAAAACCTCTCGGAGCAGAGTAGAGAACTAACAAACTCAATCCACTTATGACGCTGGGTCCGGGAATCGAACCCAGGACACATTGGTAGAAGGTGAGCGCTCTCACCACCATGCCAACCCTGTTCCTCTTTCAGTGTAACCGTAATGTGCTCGCTACGTGTACATGATAAGAATACACAAATTGCGATGCATCCCAACATAGAAAACTGTAAACCACAACCATTTTGTACCAGTGGTAGATCTCAGGGTGGGGTATGGGGTGTTCAGAATTCCCCCCTCCTCCCTTGTCATTAGACTTCTAGGTTGTTTCCCTACTTGTCTGAAACCAAGATTTTTCCAACTAGAGAATTGCATATGAGTACTCAATTTAAAGCAATCACAATTTGCCTTTTTGAGATATCTCTTAGGTTATTTAGCTATTTAGGCTCTAATGCAAAACAAAAACAAAAAAAATTGGTTTTATTTGTGAATCAAAGTTTAGGCCCCTTATCAAAAAACTCCTGGATCCGCCGCTGTATGACATTAAGTATTAGAGCTTTTTCTCTCTGTTGACAGTGCGTGTTGTTTACTAAAATTCAGATTAAAAATGTTAATATGTGTTCATCTCTGTTAGAACTAAAACTACGTCATTTGAAATACAACATCTTGCATTATTTTTTTGTCACGGCAAACTACCTGCAAAGAGTGACTACGTATTTTGGGCCAAGAAGGCTCTTATTATAAGAATATCCTCAGCATAAATACGAATTTTCACCTAGGATGCAGAAAATAGGAATGTGCAGCAGTTTCATTACGTCACTTGGCCAGACAAAGGTGTCCCACACCATTCCACAGCTCTACTTGGATTTAGACAAAAGATTCATGCTAGGCACCTGGCTACTGGTGGACCACTTCTTGTGCATTGCAGGTAAAAAGTATTGTAATATTTGAAGACTTCAAATTAAATACTTTACGTTTTGATAGATTTTCCACGTGAAAAGGTACCAAAGGCCCTCCGTTGACCGTCCTTTCATCCTCAACACTCAACGGATCGTGCTTGAAATAACTCACAGTCGCAGCACCGCTTTTTCAATGTGTCCATAGTAATCACAGTAGCTAATCAGAAGAAAGATTAACATCACAAGGAACCTATGAGAACTCGAATTAAACGAGTTGAACCGTCTGAAGTGTGAGAATTACACGCGTAAGAGTAGGGCTCTTATTTAATAAATGAACCTCGGATATCTACTCTCAATAGCCTTATTGATCATACAAATGACGTCAAAAATTGTGAACACGAGAAAAACCTGCCAGAAGCGAAGCCTATAGGTATAGCCGCAAAGTTTGTTTCTATTCAGATTTGGTACTTCAGCAGTCAGATTTCCAACTTTCACTAAATTCCTAGTATATTATCTTAGTTTTCCTACCGTTTCCCCTCTTATTGGTCCCAGCCTTTAAGAATTCCCAATTTCTACCCTCCTCTTCGTTAATTATTAATTGTTTTTCTTGGTACCCTTTTGCAGTGCTGGTGTTGGTCGAACTGGCACGTATATTGCTATCGACGCCATGCTGGAGAGTGCTGAGAAGATTAAAACTGTGTTCATACAGAATTACGTGCAAGTCATGCGTAAATCTCGTCCTCATATGATACAGAAAGATGTAAGCTAACAAATTAAGCCGTTTTCCATGAGAGTAATAGCAGCATAATTGCTAGTAATTCTCCCCCCGTGCATCTTTTAAGAAGAATCTTTGTCGTGATAGTGAAACTGATAC